ATTTACTAAGATAGAGAAATGCATACGAGGTGATAACAAAGCGAAAACAGACAAAGATGTGGGAAAGATTGAGCGGGTTTACTAAAGAAGATCAAGAAACAAACTACAACGCAACATATAAAGACACAAACTGTGACAAGTTCAGCGCAAAACTTACTGTGCAAACTCGTTGTGTCCAGTTCCCTTGACAACAGCAAACAAATCCTTGTCTTTCTCTCGTGACGATCCACTAAAGAACAGCTCTGCTTCATCATTGCCAGACAACGAAAACGAATAAGTTCCCGTGTATGGTGCCACAAAGTAGCCCTGAAGTCGGGATCCATAATCGTCGCCTTCGTTTTTGGGCGCGTCGAAGTCGGCAATGATGGACGTTTCAGTGGGGTGGTCTGGGTAGTTCTTATGAGTGGCCAGGTCTGTTATTGTGGTTCCTTTGATGCCGCGCCACACGTCGCGCTTGACGCCTGGGTATGGACCTACAAACTTGGCTGTTATGAGGCAAAAATATCATTTCAACTGTAATGTACTAGAGATGACGAATGAGACAGCAGGCTCGCTGCAAGAGCCTCACTTCTGCCTGGAGAAAGATGATGCCCTGCCCCTATAAAGATCCCAAAGGCGTCTCTAATTGGTAGTTGCTACATTACGCAGAGAATTTCTCGTTTCGTCTGGGGATAAAGAAACTGAGTCGAACGTACGTTTTTTTTTTGTTCGACTAGTAACTAACATAATAATATAACAGTCCGTGAAATGTACTACTTAAAATTAAAGACGTATTTCATTTGAAAATTCTTCGCCTATTACGCTTCGTAAATAATCTAATTCATTACGGGCGCGTAGATCATGCTCGGACGCAATCGAGAAGCCTTCAGTCATCTTCAAATCGGTTCCTACGCCGGAACCTTCCTACGTCGGAATCTCACAAAATTCTCAAAAGTAACTGAGGGAAACTGAAATTTACAAACTTACGCATCCTGTGTGTATCCTTAAGGGTCACAATCTGATCATCTGAAAGAGCACAGGGGAAAATATAGAACTCATCTAGAGCTCCCTTGAACTGGCGTGGAGGCCCTTGATCGTCCTTAAAGGCTCCAATATAAGCGGCCTTGCTCCAATCTGTGCTCAGAGACTCTGTCTGTTGAGGTTCCGTCTGGTCGTAAGCCTTGACGGGGCGCCCGTTGATATAGATCGTGGCTTGTTTTGTGTTGGGATTGTAATTTCCCGCCAGATGAACCCATTTATTTTCCGGGATTCCCTCAATGGTTGTTCGTCCATACACTGTCTTGTCCTTGTTTCGCTGGAAGAAGCGCACTCTGCCCTTGTCCACGATTTCAAAGTGATACTGTCCTTGTTTGGTGGGGTCTGTTACTCCAGGAGCCTCTGTCACAAATACCTCGTTTATATTCGAACCTGTGACGTTCTTGACCTTAACCCAGGTTGCTATGGTAACACCCAAAGTTGGCTTACCCTAATAAGGAACAGTCATAGCTTTAGCAAAAACTTATCTGTAACGTGACAGAAAATGAGTTGCGCGTCAGAAAATATAACTTTCTCACATCTTGGTTCGTCTCCTAAAATATGCCCATTCTTGATTCTGCACTTTGCGCTATCAAAGAAAATACGGGTCTCGGTCAAATTACCTTTAAAGTTTTCAATTTAGAAAATTGTTCGCAAATATTTTAATGGGGCAGAAAAACACCAAATTGGCGATAATAAAGCAACAATGAACAACGATGGTTAAGATTGGAGAAGGTTGGGGTGAATAAAGAACAACGTAACCAACCTAAACTTCTCAAAATTAAAATCTGACCTAGTTCCTCTCAATAGAATGACGTTATTATGACAAAAATTGAAGAGAACAGGGATTTTGGAAAAACGAAAAAAGCTTTCCGTTAAAATCAATTAAAATCATTAAGGTAGAACTAAATCAAGGGAAAACAGTTACTGTCTTCAAATGGTTGTACGGGACAATGAAAGTTTTCAGCGAAAAATCAGCAACTTGCTTTTCATCAGAAGTTTAGACAGGTTAGTGAAGGTAAAGGGTTAAGTCTGTATACGAGCCAAGTGGCCCATCAGGCCAGAGCGTATCCCACTTTCTGTAGCATGAGGCGACTAGGAGTACTTCTCCTCCCCACTGGATGCAATGCTAATCCATTCCAGGGTTACCCCAAGCATTAAATTCGCCGGTACCCACTTGTACACCTGGGTGGAGAGAGGCACTGTGAGAGTAAAGTGTCTTGCCCAAGAAAACAGCGCAATGTCCCTGGTCAGGGCCTGAACCCGGACCGCTCGATCCGGAGACGAGTGCAGTAACCCAGAGGCCACCGCACCTGGACAGATTAGTTGAGAAAGCTCTCAACATTCCCCACCATACCTTGAAATTCATTCCGTCCAATTGAATAAACCCGTCAGATAGATCTACACCATTGTCCTGGTTGTAGCCTGCTTCAACAATTACTCGCCCGCGGGACATTCCGTTATTACCCGAGCCTGACTCGTCGAAAATTTCCCCACGGCACATCTTGTCAAAATCATAATACAGCACTGGTTGACAGTTGAACGGGTATTCTGAACGACAAA